AAAAAAATAAAAAAAGGGCCCAGACGGCAGTGCAGCGTGAGCATAACCCATAGTGGTGGGTGTTGCGACCTTCTTCAAGGGCGGATCTTCACGACCCACGACGAGCGCTGGCCTCCTGGAGCGAGGATTCGGCGAGCCCGTGCAACTGGACCGGGATCCAGTGTAGCCCACAATCCGGGAGAGTCACCCAAGTCACGCTCGATGGCCTCGAGCTCTCGGGACCGCTGGGACGGGGCCTCCTCAAGCTCGACCACCTCCAGGTCCTCTCGCTCGCCAGGAACAATCTCTCGGGATCCATCTCTCCACAGATTCGCGTGCTAAAATCCTTGCGAAACCTGAGCTTAAGCCACAACGCTCTCTCGGGTCCCCTCCCTGGAGCCAGCCTCGCCAGTTTGGAGCTCCTCTCCCTCCTCGACGTCTCCCACAACTCTTTCTCCGGGAGTGTGCCACCCGAGCTCTTCGCCAATTGTTCCAAGTCCCTGAGGTACGTGTTTCTCTCCGGGAACCAGCTCGAGGGCGATCTCCCGGACTCCATCGCCAGCTGCGAGAGCTTGGAAGCTCTGGGAGCGTCCGAGAACCGGCTCTCGGGCTCCATCCCAGCCGGAGTTGGATCGCTGTCCCGGCTGGGCTCCCTCGACCTCTCGCACAACTCGTTGAGCGGGGAGATCCCTCCGGAGCTTGGCCAGTGTCAAATGCTGGTGAGCTTGGATCTGAGCTACAACCTCCTGTCCGGAGAAATCCCGTCCTTCCTCGAGAGCTTGTCTCGGCTGGAAGTTCTTCGCTTGCCTGGGAACTCTTTCTCTGGTGGCGTGCCCGAGTGGATCGTCACTGGCTTTCCGGAGCTCCAGGAGCTCAACCTCGCGGAGAACGATCTGGGAGGGACGCTGCCATCTTCCATCGGCTCCATGAAGGCGCTGCGGAGGCTCTACCTCCACAACAACAATCTCCAGGGAGCTCTTCCGCCAGCCTTGGCCGGATGCTTCAACCTCTCCACCATCGACTTGAGCAGCAACAACTTCTCCGGCGCCATCCCTGACGAGATCTTCGAGCTGGAGCTGGAAAGGTTGGCTCTCGCCATGAACAGCTTCTCTGGAGGCCTCCCCGTGGCTCTCTCGTCGTCAAACTCGTCCAGCGCTTGCAAAGTCATCCAGAGCTTGGATTTGTCGAGAAACTCTCTCGAGGGCGAGATCCCACCGCAGGTTTCCGGCTGCCAGCACTTGAGAAGCTTGAATCTGGGACAAAACGGGCTGTCGGGCAGCATTCCGGAAGAACTCGTCGCTGGACTGTCCGAGCTAAGCAGCCTCGACCTCAGCAGTAACTTCCTCACAGGATACATCCCCAGAAGCTTTGGCGGCTCTCCATCGCTGGAAACTCTCAAACTGGATGACAACGCTCTAGTTGGAATCATTCCTGAGGGGCTTGGAAACTGCTCCTCTCTGCGATACCTGTAAGTGTTCTTCGCGTTTGCCACCTAGACAGACTTTCACGTAAGTTTCTTGTCCATGCAGGGATCTCTCGCAAAACAACTTAACTGGAGGAATACCCGTCGAGCTCGCCGATCTGAGCAGCCTCCAGAGCTTGGATCTATCATCAAACCATCTCACCGGACAGATCCCAACAAGCTTCGCCCAGCTCCAAAACCTCTCGCTCTTCAACGTCTCGCACAACTCTCTCGCCGGCCCCATTCCAAGCGATGGAGCTTTTCCATTGCTAGATCCGAGCTCCTTCGCTGGAAACGCTCATCTTTGCGGTGCCTCGCTCAGCATCGACTGCCCCGCAATCCCAAAACCGATCGTCCTCAACCCAAACGCCACCACCACCCCAGACCCGATCATCTCATCTTCAGACCATCGTTCACCACCCTCGAGCAAGATCGTTCTCAGCGTCTCGGCCATCATCGCCATCTCGGCCGCCGCGGTGATAGCTCTCGGCATCGTCGTCGTCAGCCTCCTCAATCTTCGGAGCCATCCCAGGCCGCGAGCCAGCTTCTACGTCGTGGACAGCCTCCCTGGATCATCTCCCAGCGAAGATCTCGCCATTGGAAAGCTCGTCATGTTCACGGACGACTCGGACAGCCGCGACGAGGATCTCCTCCCGACCGCCCAGGCGCTGCTCAACAAGAACTCGGAGATCGGCCGAGGAGGCTTTGGAACCGTGTACAAGGCGACGCTGGCCGCGGGAAGAACAGTGGCGGTGAAGAAGCTGAGCGTTCCAGGAATGGTAGAAACGCAGGACGAGTTTGAGAAGCGCGTCCAGTTCCTCGGGAAGATCCAGCACGAGAACCTCGTCAACTTCCAGGGGTACTACTTCACTCCAAAGCTGCAGCTGCTCATCTACGACTTCGTCCCGAACGGAAACCTCCACTCCAAACTCCACGAGCAATCTGTTCTTCCGTGGGAGCTCCGCTTCAAGGTGGCGCTGGGAGCCGCGCAGGGCCTCTGCTACCTCCACCACAAGTGTCGGCCGCGGGTGATCCACTACAACTTCAAGTCGAGCAACGTTCTCCTGGACGATGGCTTCAACGCGCGGGTGTCCGACTATGGCCTGGCCAAGCTGCTTCACTCGAGGGACCGCTTCGTTGTCATGAACAAGCTCCAGAGCTCGCTGGGATACCTGGCTCCGGAGTGTGGCTGCGAGAGCTTCAAGGTGACGGAGAAGTGCGATGTCTATGGCTTCGGGGTCGTGCTGCTGGAGCTCATCACTGGGAAGCCGCCGGTGGAGTATCTCGAGAACGATGTAGTGATCCTGTGTGACTTTGTGAGATCGCTGGCGGACGATGGCAAGCCGCTGCTGTGTGTGGACCCGAAAATGGTGGTGTATCCCGAGGAGGAGGTGATGACGCTGATCAAGCTGGGGCTGGTTTGCACGTCGCCGGTGCCTGCTAACAGGCCGTCAATGACTGAGGTCGTCCAGATCTTGGAGCTCATCAAGCCGCTTGCTGATAACAGGAGCTAGTTCTTCACTACGATCGCAAAGAGCGGAGTCTAAACTTTCCTGCATGGCTGAGCTTCCGACGAGAGAAAAAAGAAGAAGTTTCACCGTTTTCCTTCGACGAGGTTACAAAGAACCGAGGTTTTTTCCACCCTTCTAGAAAGCACTCCAAAATTCTCCAGCAAAATAAGAAGCAGAAGCCGCGACTGATGGTGGTCACAGACCTTCGAAGTACCGCAAGTGATCATCAAATGTTTCCGCGTGTCTGATCTTGGTTATGGATCCGTCGTCTTCGATCTACAATTTTCATTTTTTGTCACGCATTGATAGGGAGAAACCAAAGAGGACATACCCAGTACTCTGGTGGCCGCATTTTCAAGTTGTAAGTCGATGCCATACTCATGCAGTACGCTCCGGCGTCGTGAACAACGATTCCATCGCCCTGTCGCAAGGTTTTAGATCACCACGGAAAGAAAACCTTATATGAACATCTTACTCTCTTTGGAGTTGGAAGCTCTCTATTCTTTCCCAGGAAATCGGCCGACTCACAGACAGGCCCCACAACGTCGTAAGTTTTCACTTCAGCGTCGGATCCAGCGGGAGCTACGAGCTCAATGTGCTGCGTCAAATAAAGAGTTAATAAAAAGGAAGTGAAAATGGAATGGCTGGACACTTACCTGGTACGCGTCGTATAAGCTGGGACGAATCAACTCAGACATGCTACCATCAATCACAATGAAGTTCTTGTTGCCATTAGTTTTGACCCCCGTCACGCGGTTAACCAGCGCTGCCGCGTTCGCAACGAGCGATCTTCCAGGTTCCATGATCAAAGTCAGACCTCTAGAAACCACCAGATCACGAACCTAAAGGTGCATCTTTGAGTCAATACCCTGGAATGATCTAAAGCTAGAAACAGTTACCGTGTCAACCAAATCCCTTGGTGTTGGCAGAACGGCCCCGGTATGATAATAATCGATGCCCAGACCACCTCCAATGTTGAGATACTTTAAATCAAAACCTTGAGACTTGATCTCATCCATGTACTGGACCATGAGCAATGCGGCATCCCGGAAGATATTCACCTGTGGAACGCACTTACGATAAGAGAAAGAGAAAAAATGAAATGCTTGCCTTCGTGATGGTCGAGCCTAAATGGCAGTGCGCACCAACAAGCTTCACCTCATTGGGATGCTGTTTTATCTCATCCAAAAACCACTGGAGCTTCTCGTTGCGAATGCCAAACTTGGAGTTTTTGTTGCCTGTCGCGACATAAGGATGAACCTGAAAGAAACATTGAGGCGCGAACACGCTAGATGAAATTGAAACACCACTCACTTGTGGATCAACGTCAGGATTGATGCGTAGTAAAACCCTGACGCACTTGTTGGCAATCTTCCCAGCTTCGACTATGTGAGCGAGATCAAACTCGCTATCAATGTTGACGAGCACATCGTTCTGTGCAGCAAGCACCAACTCTTCGGGAAGTTTTCCATTTCCATTAAACACGCACCTGATGAAAAAAAAGAGTTATTCCTCGAGTATGTCTTGGAAGGAAAAAGAAAATAAAAAACTTTACCTGGTGGGATCAAAGCCAGCGTGCAATGCAAGCCTAAGCTCATTTCCACTCACGAGCACAGCACCACTGCCCAAGCTCCGGAAATGCTCGAGGATTTTCACATTGTTGTTGGCCTTGATAGCATAGCCAACGATGGAGCTAATGCCCTGCAATGCCGACTGATACGCCAAGAAATTCCGGCTAAGCTGGGGCTTACTGTACAGATAGAATGGCCGCTTCTCGGGCACCGATTCCATCACGTCTTGCACCCTGCGATCCTCGCAGTAGAGGAATCCATCGCCTTTGGCCGTAAACGCCCTGGATGCCGATTCAAGCGAGCTGGATGGCTTGCTCTCGGCGCCAATACGCTCCGACACAGCCGATCTGATAGTAGTGAGCCTGCGCCGCGTCGAGAAACGCACGGCCGACCTGGAAATGCCGACGATCTCTCCCAATCCCGCGCTCTTCCCCAATGCGGCTCCAATTGGAGCTCGAGAGCTTCTCGTCGCCATCTAAACCCTAGAATAAACCCTAATCAAAGGTATCTCCGACCTTTTAAAGGTCTAGAATAGAAAAAGTTTCTCGCCAAACTAGGGCAATTAAAAAATTGGCGCCAAGAATTGGGAGGATTAGGGTTAGGGCTAGCGGGCTCCAGCGTAGATGTTAGAGAGCAATGCGTAGGCGCCCGTGCGGCCGGGCGCGATCTTCATCAGCATTTGCGCGACGCGCCTCCCTCTCTCGAAATCGCCGTGAGTTCTACACGAGCTGAGCAGCGCCATTCCATTGAAAGCCCTCTCCTCTTGGGGCGTTCGCAGCACCAGATCCTCGGCCTCGCCCAGCCATCCCGCGCGGCCCAGCAGATCGATCATACACCCGTAGTGCTCCGGCAGCGGCACAATCCCGTGGTCCTCGATCATGAGCACCATGTAATCGCAGCCTCGATCGGCGAGCCCGGCGTGGCCGCACGCCGCGATCACGCTCTGGAACGTGATCGTGTTGGCCAGGAATCCTTCGTTCTGGAGCTCCTGGAAGAGATCCAGGCTCTCGAGGAATCGGCCATTGCTCGCGTGCGCGGCGATGAGCGCGTTCCAAGAGATCGTATTGCGATGGGAGAGATTGGCGAAGATGGCGATGGAATCGGCGAGGCTGCCGCATTTCCCATACATGTTGAGGAGCGCGGTGCCCAAGAACACACCGCGATCTCTCCCACTCTCGTTGATCAGGCCGTGCACGAATCGCCCCTCGCCCAGCGAGCTCTGCCCCACAAAGCAATCCAGCATCGCCGCGAATGTGATCTCGTCTGGCCGCGATCCCTCGCCCAGCATCCGCCGGAAGAGCTCCATCGCCTCGATAGCCAGCCCCTGCGCCGCCATCGCGCCCAGCATCGCGTTCCAGGAGATCGCGCTCTTGCTCTCCAATCGATCGAAGATCTGTGATGCGCGATCCAAGAGGCCAAACTGGGCGAACATGTAGCACAGCGCGGTGCCCACGCGATCGTCGCTCTCGCAGCCACAGCCGCGGATTCGAGCCAAGATCTCCTCGCCATCACGAATGCTTCCGGCATTCGCGCAAGCGTCAACCGCCGCGACAAACGCGATGGCGTCGGGCTTGATCCTCATCTCCCGGAAGAGCTCCAGCGCCGCGGCGTGATCGCCACGATCGGAGTAGCCCCCCAGCATCGTCGTCCACAGCACCACATCCTCCTCCTTGCCTCGATCATCGCGGATCCGATCGAAGAGCTCGCGCGCTCGATCGATCCGGCCACACTTGCTATACATCCTCACGATCGCAGTGCCCAGCACGAGGTTGATCGAGAGCCCAGTCGCGATGATTCGATCGTGCGCTGCCTCTCCCTCTCGCAGCGCCGCGATCTCCCCGCAAGCATCCAGCAGCGTCGCGAAGGTGGTGGAATTTGGATCACACTGCGCCTCCAGGTCCATGGATCGGAAGAGCTGGATCGCGTCGCTGGATCGGGAATTCTGGGCGTAGCCCGCCAGCATCGCGTTCCAGGAGATTGTGTTCTTAACGTCCCCAGCCATGGAATCGAAGATCTTTCTCGCCTCGTCGACGCTGCCACACTTGCTGTACATGGTGATAAGCGCGGTGGAGAGAACTACGTCTCGATCGATCAATCGTTGCTCGGCAGCGCAGGAATGGATGGTTTTGCCTGGTCGCAGCTTGCCCAAGATCGAGCAGCCATTGAGGCTGTTGATGAAAGTCACCTGGAATTGGGTCAAACGAGAAAGTCATCACGGAAGATCAGGAAGAACACAAGCGCACCTTTTGTGGGCGAATGCCTTCCAGCTGCATTTGATCGAGGAGCTGGAGTGATTTGGTTGGGAATCCATGGTGGATGTAGGCCGCGATCATGATGTTCCAGGTGACCAAGCTCTTCTCGGGTATTCTCGCGAAAATCCGGCAGGCCTGGGCGAGATCTCCACACTTGTTATACATGTTGACGAGCGTTGACGCCACGGCCACATCGGTCTCGATCTCGTTGACCCCCGCGAAGCTCGCGTGGATGGATTTTCCCCGCTCTAGATCCAGCGTTTCGCTACACGCCGAGATCGCAACCACGAAGCTCGTCTTGTCCGGCCGCGATGATCCATCCTGTTGCATCTGCCAGAAGAGCCTCAGCGAGATCTTCCACTGCCGCTCACGATTGCAAGCCTTCATCAGCGTCGTCCAGGAAATTCCATCCTGGGACTCCATCACCGCAAAGAAATCCATGGCCTCGCGCAAGAATCCCCCGGCCGTGGCGTAGAGATTGAGGAGGGAATTGGCGAGCACGAGGTCGCCTCCAAACCCTCGCTCTGTGGCTCGGTCGAAGATCCTCCGGCCCTGGATCGCGTCTCCGAGCGCGACGCAGAGATTTACGGCCGCCGCGAAGGTGATCCTGGTGGGAAGAACCCCGCACTGCTGCATCGCATGGAAGAGATCGAGCGCCTCGCGGTGTTGCCCGCGCTGGGCAAATGCCGAGATCATCGTTGTCCATAGCCCGGCGTCGTCGAGATCGAACTGGCAGAGGAGCTGCCGCGCGTCGTAGAGACTGCCAAGCCGGAGATACATGTGAATCACATAGCTCGCCAAGAACTCGTCTCTGTCTAGCCCGTCCCTCACAAGATCGGCGTGGATCGATCGCCCTTCCACCAATCTGCGGCAATTCACGAGCTGGTGGCGGTAGAGCGTGATCGCATTCACCGATGACGCTGCTGCTGGCGCTGCGATCAAGATCCTCCCCAGGAAATACTGGCCTCCGTGAGAGAGCGACGACGCTACCGCCATAATCCCGGGCCGATCGAACGATCCGCGAGTGCGAATCACTCAGATCCTCGCCCGCGCCATCGCGATCGATCGATCGGTAGAACATTACCGCGTAGAAGGCCGCGCTCCCATTCTTCCCTGGATTTCAAAAAGATGCCCAGGCACATACCGTCATAGAGCGTAGCAGAATATCTTCAGAGCAAGCAGAATATGCCTTTTCGGCGGGATATTCTGCTAGATCTGGCCCAAAAAGGGCTCACCCAAGGCGATGGCGATGGCGCTGGAGGAGGATTGCGACAGTGGAGAGGAGGCAAGGTAATGGTGTGACACGCTAGCTAGCGGGAGATCCCGGGGGACTCTTTGATCCAGGGCAGAAAATCCGAGGAGAGGAGCGAGGGATCAAGAGAAATTTGGAGGCCGCGGCCATGGCCATGGAGGTCACCCAGGTCCTCCTCAACGCGCAATCCGCCGATGGCAGCGTCCGCAAGCTCGCCGAGGACAATCTCCGCCAGTTCCAGGACCAGAATCTCGCCGCCTTCCTCGTCTCGCTCAGCGGCGAGCTCGCCAGCGACGACAAGCCGCCCGAGAGCCGCAAGCTCGCGGGGTTGATCCTCAAGAACAGCCTCGACGCCAAGGACGCCGGGCGGCGCGCGGAGCTAGGGGACCGCTGGCTGCTGCTGGATTCCGCCGCCAGGGCACAGATCAAGGCCGCGCTGGTGGCGACGCTGGCGGCGCCAGTGGCGGAGGCGCGCCACACGGCGGCGCAAGTGATTGCAAAGGTGGCGGCGATAGAGCTCCCTCGCCAGGCGTGGCCAGAGCTCATCCCAGGCCTTCTCGCCAACGTCACGTCCTCCATGGGCGTCGCCAATGCCGCCCATCTCAAGGAGGCGACGCTGGAGACTCTGGGCTACGTGTGTGAGGCCATTTCTTCCGAGGTTCTCGCGCAGGATCAAGTAAACTCCGTGCTCACGGCGGTCGTGCAAGGTATGAACTCCTCCGAGGCGAGCAGTGAGGTGAGGCTGGCCGCCACCAACGCGCTCTACAATGCGCTCGACTTCGCGCAGACCAACTTCGACAACACGGTGGAGCGAGACTATATCATGAGGGTGGTCTGCGAGGCAACTTTGTCACCGGATTCTCGAGTCCGCAAGGCCGCGTTTGAGTGCCTGGTTTCGATCGCGTCCACGTACTACGAGAAGCTGGCGCCTTACATGAAGGATGTTTTCGCGATCACTTCCAAGGCTGTCAAGGAGGACGAGGAGTCCGTGGTGCTGCAGGCTCTCGAGTTTTGGAGCTCCATTTGCGACATAGAGATCGAGCTCTTGGACGAGTTCTCGACGACCGGGGATTCGGAGCTGTCCAACTTCCATTTCATCAGGCAGGCTCTGCCTTACCTCGTCCCGATGCTGCTGGAGACGCTGACAAAGCAGGAGGAGGGGCAGGATCAGGACGAGGACGTGTGGAACTTGGCTATGGCGGGAGGGACTTGCTTGGGACTGGTGGCCAAAGCGGTCGGGGATGATATCGTTCCGCTCGTCATGCCTTACGTGCAAGAGAACATCTCGAAGCCCGACTGGCGGTGCCGAGAGGCGGCGACTTACGCGTTTGGATCCATTCTCGAGGGACCCGGACCGGACAAGCTCGCGCCGCTCGTCACCAGCGCTCTACCATTCATGCTCAACGCCATGAAAGACGAGAACAGCCACGTCAAGGACACCACCGCGTGGACGCTGAGCCGGATCTTCGAGTTTCTTCACGGTCCCAGTGTGGATACGTCAGTGGTGAACCAGGCCAACCTCCCGTTGATCCTGTCAGTGCTGCTCGAGAGCATCAAAGACGCACCGAATGTTGCCGAGAAAGTTTGCGGGGCGATCCATGCGGTGGCTGTCGGCTACGACGATTCCTTGACGAGCACCGGTGGCAGCAATCCTCTGTCACCTTTCTTCCAGAACATCGTTCAGGCGCTCCTGGCGGCTGCCGACCGAGAGGATGCGGCGGAGACGAGGCTGAGAATCGCGGCATACGAGACTCTCAACGACGTGGTGAAGTGCTCGTCCGATGACACTGTCGCGGTCGTGGGTCAGCTGGTTCCGGTGATCATGGAGAAGCTCGGGCAGACACTCCAAATGC